GTTGTTGTTGTTGTTGTTATGTGCCATCGAGTCGGCCCCGACTCATAGCGACCCCTCCTCGGGTTTCCGAGGCAGTATCACTACAGAAGTAGGTTGCCCCATCTTCCTTCCGAGGAATGGCTGGTGGGTTTGAACCGCTAGTCTTCTGGTTAGCAGTCAAGTGCCTTAGACACTATGCTACCCGAGCTCCCCCTCTGTCTCATACAACAAGCTAATTCTCACCTTCTCCATAAAGGTACTTCAGTGTAAAGGTGTGGCCATCCTCTAATTTAGGGGTGGGAGTGGTTAAGAACTACTTATGAATGGATTAAAGTTTGAAAATTCCAGTTACATTTAAAATAAACATAGTAATGAATGAGTTCATAAGGCACACCCTTTGTCAACTGCGCTGCCTCCCGGTGTGATCCTGCCATGGGAATTCACACTTTTCTTACCTGGCTTTGAGTAAAACAAAGTAAAACTCACCCCCACACCACCCCCAAAAAAAACCACCCTCCAAATTAACTCTTCTCTCTGCTTCTAACCTGTACCTCCTTACAGTCCATTCTCCAAACGGCGGCCACAGTGACCTTTTCCAAAGGTAAACCCACTGTGCTCTTGCCAAAAACCCACTCACAACCATCCACATATTTGATGAACCCCAACCCCTTGTCCACTTCTCTGACCTCACAGTCTCCACCACTGCTGTTCCTTCTTCCTAATGTCCTTCACAGCTTTTCTCTGGTTATTTATTTCCTTATGTGTGAACATCTATCTCCGTAACCCAAACCCACAGCCATTGAGTCGGTTCCAATTTATAGCGACGCTACAGGGAGAAGAGAACTGCCCCATAGGGTTTCCAAGGCTGTAAATCTTTATGGAAGCAGGCCACCTCATCTTTCTTCTGCAGAGCGGCTCGTGGGTTTGAACTGCTGACTTCTGGTTAACAGCCAAATGCTTCAGCCACTACGCCACCAGAGCTCGCTCCTTAACCAGAAGGTACCCCACAAAACCAATCACTTTGATTTGTTTGCACGTGTCCCTTAGGCCCAGAACAGTGCCTGGCGGAGAAGACAGCCAGGAAGGACTTGCAAGTGGGTGGGAGGGAAGGAGAGTGGAGTATTAGGGAGGAGAGAAGGAGCCCTGGTGGCACTAATGGTTAACAACTGCTTGGCTGCTAAGCAAAAGGCTGGAGGTTCGAACCCACTCAGCGGATCTGTGGGAGACAAAGCCTGATCTCATGAAGATTACAGCCTAGGAAACTCTACAGGGCAGTTCTAGTTTGTGACATGGGATTGCTACGACAACAAAGGGAGGAGAGGAGGGTGGAGGGAAGGACAGAGGGAGGGATGGAGGTCCAGGTAGAGAGCTAAGGGCCTGGTCCACTGAGAAGCCCTTCCTTCCTTAGCTGTAAGCCTTCTCCCTCCTCGCAAAACCCAGAAGCTGAGCTCTCGCGAAGCTGTCAAGGAAAGCATACTGCCCCAAATTCCCAAGGCAAACAAGCAGCCAAGCAGAATTATACACACGGAGACACACACGCCCATTAGCTGGAGCTCGTAGCTTTGGGCCACCAAACATGCATTTGGTGGGAGAAACCTCTCTGAACGATACATAAGAGAGATAGAAAAGGTTCTTCAAAACCAAGGCTGTCTCCCAACCAGATCAGAGCAACAACACATATGTCCAGATTACCTGCCAGAAACAAAACAAAACAAACCAAGCCGTCCGAATCCCACATCCACAAAACCAACAACAGAAATGTTCCTTGAATAAGCAAGCCAGAAGGTTCTGCGAGGAGCATCTGAACACCCCAGCAACTGGGACCAAAAGTGCGCCCCATCTTCCTGGGGGTGCAGCTGAGGATGCAGCTAGGGTTCCTCTCGCTGGGCACAGCGGGCTACCTGGATCCTGCGTGTTGGGGAGCCTGGGCTGGGCAAAGCCTAGGACAGGATGCCAGTTGAGTGCTAAATATCTGAGCAGCAATACATGGCTGCCTGTTGGGGCCACACGGGTGGGAGTTATTCTAAGGCCCTGTCACCCTGTGGCCCCAGGATAGTGAAGGCTGAGAACACAGAAGCCTGAGTATAGCATAGGGCAAGGCTGGGCTCCAGAACCCTGAATTTTTTTTGTTCTATGGCCCTAATACC